ATGTCTGGTAGAATTCAGCTGTGAACCCATCTGGACCTGGGCCTTTTTTGGGTGGTAGGCTCTCAATTGCTGTCTCAACTTCAGACCTTGTTATTGGCGTATTGGTGATCATTAAAAAATCTGGAGACAACACATGCTGGATAGGATGTGGAAAAATAGGAACACTTTTACACGGTTGGTGGGAGTGTAAATTAGTTCAACCATTGTGGAAGACAGTGTGGCAATTCCTCAAGGACCTAGAAATAGAAATTCCATTTGACTCAGCAATCCCATTACTGGGTATATATCCAAAGGATTATAAATCGTTCTATTATAAGGACACAAGCACATGAATGTTCATTGCAGCACCATTTACAATAGCAAAGACCTGGAACCAACCCAAATGCCCATCGATGATAGACTGGACAGGGAAAATGTGGCACATATACACCGTGGGATATTATTCAGCCATCAAAAGCGATGAATTCGTGTCCTTTGTAGGGACATGGATGAACCTGGAAACCATTATTCTCAGCAAACTGACACAAGAACAGAAAATCAAACAGCGCATGTTCTCACTCATAGGGGGGTGCTGAACAATGAGAACAGATGGACACAGGGAGGTGAGCATCACACATTAGGGTCTGTCAGAGGGAAACAGGGGAGGGACAGTGGTGGGTGGAGAGTTGGGGAGAGATAGCATGGGGAGAAATGCCAGATGTAGGTGATGGGGAGGAAGGCCGCAAATCACACTGCCATGTGTGTGCCTGTGCAACAATCTTGCATATTCTTCACATGTACCCCAAAACCTAAAATGCAATTAAAAAAAAAAAAGAAATCTCATACTTGGCACTGTGAGCATTATTGCGACCAGTTTTGCCTGATTTAATAGTCTAAACCATCGTTAAAATCCCCCAAATTTCCCCACACTCAGCATGGATAATAGAAAGATTTGTTTGATTAGCACTGATAATTTTTCTTTTAAGCCTTTTCCATTAAAACTTACCAGAATTTAATAAACTTCTACATTTAAAAAAATCTTTATTTTGTTCAAAATTTATATAGTCTTTGTAACAGTCTATAGTTGCTACTCATTATACTTTTTAGCTTCATTATGGTGTTACCTTTCTTTTTATAGTATAAATACACAAAAGAGATTATTTCTGAACTCTGATAGAATGTGTTTACCTGACATATTTTGGTATGTATATGTCTACTTTGACCTCCTGTATTGATATTTACATTACAGAATTCTCAGTAGCAAAACTCTTTATTATCCTATCGGTCTCATTATTCATAATCTGACAGTTTATCTTTGGAGATAAAATTTACTCTGCTTCATTGTGCATTAATTTAGAAAATTTACAGTTCCCAAATTTTGTTGAATTGTTTGAATAAATGAAAAATAACTTTATAAAAAGAAGAGGGTATTTTTAAATATGTCACATCCTTCAAATGTGGCTGACCTCTCAAACTTCACTATCCATGGGGAATATATGTCTTATATGTTTACAAAACAGTAGTTTGGAATTTAGAATTCTGATAGTGCATCTAAATGCCAATGAGCATCTGAGTTAAAAATGTTATTAAGCAATTACATAATGATTGATAAATCCAGAGTGAATGTTTGACATCAAAACTTTACTATAGGCTGACCTATCTACACCCAACTTAGGATCAGATCTGCAGCTGGAGGGGAACAAGACTAGGAGCCACACAAAGCAGTGATGAACTTAAAAATTACACTAAAATGCCATAATCAGTCAGAATTTCATCATATGAATTTGGATGTACCATGGGTAGAAATAAATCACATTCTTGAAAATAACTGAATTTTAACGTACAATTTGAACATTAATTGTATCTTTTTTTCTTTATATATGGCTATAGGCTGCCATCAGCAAACTTTTTGCAATGAGAATATTCTAATAAAATCATCAGAGTCTATACCGAGTAGCTTTAAATAATAGCAGCCTCTTATGAAGAATAGATTTGGAAAGAGCTAGAAAGATTTTTAGTCCCCTCCTAATTATTTTGAAAGATTTACATTGAGACTTGGAATTTAAAATTACTCTTCTAAAAAAAGCTATTTTATGTGTAAAATAACTGTAGAGAAATTAAAAAAAAAAAAAAAACTGAGATGATCTGATTCCAATGACCAAGGGAGATTACAAGCTACCTACCTGCAAGACCTTTCATTTTAAACACTGTGGAAAAATCTAGTCTGCCAGTGTTCACTGAATGGCTATGTGGCCATTCTAGCAATGGTTTAAATCTTAAGTTTTTCAACTGAATATTAGCCGACACATAATATCAGAAGTACAAATTGAAAACTCAACCTGGAAAATCTGAAGGTGAGCTCTTACATAATCCACCTCCCAATCTATATTGAATATTGTATGCCAAGTTGAAATTTTATTTTTAACATCTGATAGTTATAATATTGCCAACTAATGTTGAGAAATATTTTAGCATGTATTCATTTTCATAATATTGGTATTACTTTATATAAGATGAAGGGTATGTAAGTGTGTGTATACACATGAGTTTCATACAGAAATTGAATACTGTTTATTGGAGGCAAGAGGAAGGGAAGCTTTAAAAGACATGTATTTCAAGAAGAGTATCGCTTTTTTACAAAGCACTCTGTTTTTTTTTTTTTTTTTTTTTTTTTCTTTTTCTTTGAGATTGAGTCTCGCTCTGTCACCAGGCTGGAGTACAGTGACATGATCTTGACTCACTACAACCTCTGCCTCCCAGTTCAAGCTATTCTCCTGCCTCAGCCTCCTGAGCAGCTGGGACTATAGGTGCACACCACCACGCCCAACTAATATTTTGTGTTTTTAGTAGAGACAGGGTTTTACAATGTTGGCCAGGATGGTCTCAACCTTTTTACCTTGTGATCCACTTGCCTTGTCCTCCCGAAGTGCTGAGATTATAGGCGTGAGCCACTGCACCTGGCCTGCAAGGCACTCTTTTGTTCCTACACTGAGGCTCCAGTAATGTGATAAATTTTGGTATTATTAACCAGATATACCAATGCCTCCATCACCTAGTCATTACCTGCCCTTCCTACCTTGTCTTTGCTACCTTCACCCTCTGTCTACAGGTTCCCAACTCTCAGCTACTCACAGTTACTATCTGACCATATTTTGCTCCTTCATGCCTCAGAGCCCCAGTTGAGATCTTGAAGACCTACCTCCCAGAGAAACCTTCCCCAGCTTTCTCAGGCAGGCCGCTCTTCTGGTGCCTAGTATTGTTTAACTTCAAGTGTCACTAGGCTCTGTTCTTTCACGCTTTCTTGCCTAAACTCACACTTCTGCTCTAGAGCCAATCTGTTCCTATAAGAGATAGGGAGAAAAAGATTTGTTGTTTTTTGTTTTGTTTTGTTTTGTTTTGCTTTTCTATTCTCACACATGCGACACAGAATATTAAGCACAGCACAGAATGCTTCAATTCTGGTCACCAAAATGTGTGTCGTTTTCCCACACACACTGACCTGTTCTCCTGTGGACAGCAACTCGGTGTGCTATAATGTAATTCAATTCTTTTTTTTTTTTTTTTAATCCCTCTCCACCTTTCCCATCCCCCGCTGCTCCTCTCCTGCCCCGCCCCCCGCAACAGACTGCAGTGTGTGGTACTTCCCTCCCTGTGTCCACATGTTCTAATTGTTCAACACCCACCTATGAGTGATAACATGCGGTGTTTGGTTTTCTGTTCTTGTGTCAGTTTGCTGAGTATAGTGGTTTCCAGATTCATCCATGTCCCTGTGAAGGACTTGAAGTCATCGTTTTTTATGGCTGCATAGTATTCCGTGGTGTATATGTGCTACATTTTCTTTATCCAGTCTATCGTTGATGGACATTTGGGTTGGTTCCAGGTCTTTGGTAATGTAAACAGCACCACAATGAACATATGTATGCACGTGTCTTTATAATACAACAATTTCTAATTCTTTGGGTATATACCTAGTAATGGGATTGCTGGGTCAAATGGTATTTCCATTTCTAGGTCCTTGAGGAATCGCCACACTGTCTTCCACAATGTTTGCACTAATTTGCACTCCCACCAACAGTGTAAGAGTGTTCCTATTTTTCCACATCCTATCCAGCATCTGTTGTGTCCATATTTTTTAATGATTGCCATTGTAACTGGCGTGAGATGGTATCTCAGTGTGGTTTTGATTTGCATTTCTCTAATGACCAGTGATGATGAGAATTTTTTCATATGTTTGTTGGCCTCACAGATGTCTTCTTTTGTAAAGTGTCTGCTCATATCCTTCACCCACTTTGGAATGGGTTTCTTTGTTTTTTTTTTGTTTGTTTTTTTGTTTTTTTCTTGTAAACCTGTATTAGCTCTTTGTAGATTCTGGATATTAGCCCTTTGTCATATGGGTAGATTGCAGAAATTTTTTCCCTTTCTGTTGGTTGCCACTTCGCTCTAATGATGGTTTCCTTTGCTGTACAGAAGCTCTGGAGTTTAATGTGATCCCATTTGTCTATTTTGGCTTTTGTTGCCAAAAACAAGTAATGGGAAAAGGATTCCCTGTTTAATAAATGGTGTTGGGAGGACTGGCTAGCAATGTGCAGAAAGCAGAAACTGGACCCCTTCCTGACACTTTACACTAAAATTAACTCCAGATGGATTAAAGATCTAAACATAAGACCTAACACCATAAAAGCCTTAGAAGAAAACCTAGGCAAAACCATTCAGGACATAGGAATAGGCAAGGACTTCATGGCTAAAATACCAATTTAATTCAATTCTGACACTGTCTAATTGGAGATAGAGTAAGATCCCACAGTTTAAGATCTTAGTTCCACAAGCTTGTCCAATTCAGAAGCCAGTCCCAAGTCCTAAGTTGTAACTTGGGCCTCTGATCAACCGGCTATAATTCCCAGTTTCCATGACTCTCTCCTTGGGTTCAATTAATTTTCTAGGTGGCTCACAGAACTCAGGTAAACAATTTACTTAGGCTTACTCATTTATTGTAAAGAACATTGCAAAGGATACAAATGAAGGGCTCAATGGAAGAGATGCATAGAGAGAGCAAGGTTGTGGAAAGGTTCTAGGAGCTTCTGTGCGCTCTCTGGGTGCACCACCTTCCAGGCATCTCTGTGTGTTCAGCGATCTAGAAGCTTTCCAAACCCTGTCCTCTGGGGCTAATATGAAGGCTTCCTTAAGTAGGTAGGATTGATTACATTATTGGCCATTCGTTAGCAACTCAATTTTCAGCCCTTTTTCTCTCTCTGGGGCTTAGTGGGTAGGAATGAAAGTTCTAACCCTCTAGCTACTTGTTTGAGTCCCTTGGCGGCCAGCCCCAAATCCTGAGGCTATTCAAGAGCCCTTGTTCATCAGTCATCTTACTAACATTCAAAGATATATCACTTTGGAGATTCTAAGCGTTTTAGGAACTCAGTATCAGGAAATGAGAGGAAAACCAAATGTATATTTTATATTACATATCACAGCCTCAAAGATCCCTCTCAGACTGTTTTTTTAAATCTCCTTTGATTAATAGTCATGGCTCGCTTATTAATATTCCCCAAATCCACTTTTTTTTCATATAGGAAGGAAAACTCGGTTATCTATTGCATAAAGGAGGGCAACCAACGATGAATTCATTTAGTAAGCTAATATTTATTTAACATATATGGTATACCAGGCTCTGTGCCAGCTTCTACAAATATAAAGTAGTTAGAATATAGATTCTCCCCCTAAGGTTCTCACAGTTTAGTAGCAACAGTAGGAATGCAGACAATGGCAATGCCATGTGCTTATGTATAAATGCAAATGCATAGAAAAAGTAACAATGCTTCTCTTTACTGAGGAGGAAGTTTAGGATTGGGGGTCAAAGGGACTTTCTGCTTTGTCAATAGTATTTGAGTTTGACATTCAGACTATATTTAATGTACTATTTAGGTAACAATTTATGGATTAAATGACATTTTTAAACATAAACCGTCACATACAAAATCTAGTAATATAAATATTATACAAATGGAAGGATTTAGCCTGGGGACTGGCAGAGTTTATGGACAGAAAAACCACAGGAAAAGGGAGCTTCTAGTTTCTGGGAAGGAGATGAAAGCTGAATCCCTGAGTCATGCTGGAAACCTATTTGGGAACCTATTTGCAGCACAGAAGTATTTTAGGAGAAAAGAGAATGGAGAAAGGCTAAACCATGAGACCTGTCATTTATGGGTTGCTGGAAAAAAAAGCCATAATGAAAAACGTATTTAGGAAATATTAAACCCCCTTGTCAGTTTTTGGCATCCTAGAGGGCAGAAACGTAGTCCTTGTAATTTATTTAATAAGGTACTCAGGTAATGCCATGTACAAAAAGTCCTCTTTTAGAGGTTCGTGATGCCCAACTGTATCCAATAAAAACAGACTTATAATAAGGGGTTTAATGAAGAATGTGTGAAATGAAAGAAAAAAAGGAACCTAGATTACTTCTCTTTGCTAAAATAAGCAAATGCAAAGTCATTCCCACTCTACTGATAATTAGAAACCACATACCCTTACAAAACAGCTTACAAATTCCATCCCATCAAAAAAGAACAAAGTCATTCAAAGTTACCTTTTTTAATGAAAATTCTCTTATTAACCAGTTTTTTTTTTAAGTGCACATCTTTTTAAACCAAACCACAACTGAAAAAAAAAAAAAAAAAAAAAGCTTGGTTTTAGTTTTGTAAAATACCATGGCATGCCCTCAGTGAGTTGTGAGAGATATTTAGAAATACTGGCATCAAAGTGGTGATGGAGACATTTACTGCCGTACTAACAGGCCTCACAGAAAATGCTAGTGTAGGTTGATTTAGTAGTCTGATGGCCTATAACCTATTTTTTAAATGGTTTATATGGACAAAGACTCTTTATTTTTAAAAATTATTTATTTAAATTAATGTATATTAGTAAAAGACTTTTTTCACTTACAGTACTGCTACATGTTTTTTGCAAATAAAATTTTGTGCAAAAGGTATGAGTTTTTTAAAGGAAATAAGAATATAAAATACATGTGAAATGGCAGAATATTATAAAATAGTAACACAAATTGTTGATGTTTGAGAAACATTGATCAGTTCTGTAAGTTTCTATCAGCATTTCCATAGTTTCTATCATGCTTCTTTACAAAGTTCAGGGAATCTTAGTTTGAGAAAAGTGTCTCCGCCCAGACCTTTAGGATACCTGGGTATGCAGGTGTCCTAGATATGTAGGTAATGACCTACACTCTGGGCCGCTTTTCCTGTATGCAGTCAAATGCCTTCATTTCTGGCTGAACATTGGCTTCTTCAGTGACAGAAATGTCCAAAGCTTCACCTTTTACTTACTATAAAGTTCTCTCAATCAATTCAATTTGAGTTATATTTTCAGACATATTCCCCCAACAGGCCATTTCATTGGAGAGAGAAACATAACAGATGCAGTGATACCCTTCCATGTGGACATGGAAAGCCCTCACATTTACCAGCAGGAAATCAGGTTGATTCCATGAGAATACATCCCAAAGCCTTACTTTCCACCCTTTCCCAAGCCACCATCATCTGGAGAGCTTGAGTGAGGAGAACAGAACCATAGAGAGTGTGGAAGAGAATGGGCCAGTCTCCTAAACCTCTTCAGGCCTTTGCACATGCGTTCCATCTGCCCAGAATGATCTTCCACTCTATGTGGCGGATTCACTCTGATTCAATTCTCAGGTCAAATGTTCTTTCTTCAAAGATAATTTCTGTGACCACCCTATCTAAAATAGTCACCCAACAAGAAGCCAGTTTGCCTCACCTTACTATTTTCTTCCTTCTAGAGCTAATCATAGTCTATAGTAAATGTATGTGCATTTATTGATGTGTGTAACCTACAGTCTGTCTCCTCTACCTCCAGAAGTAAGCTTCATGAAAGCAGAAACTTTGCATCCCTAGTTCCAAGAGCAGTGTCTGGCACATGGCAGTCATCCTTTATATAGTATTTGCTAAGGCTTTTTTCTTGATATGTCTTTCTGCATATTTTTGCTCTCAAACTTTCTGTGTCCTTAAGCTTTATGTGTATGTCTTATCCTAATAAATAGCTGGATTTTGTTTTGATGTTCAGTCTGGCAACATGAATTGTAACTGGGGTTTAGCATATTTACATTGATTGCAATTGCTGGCACATTTAGATTTATGTTTTATTTTCAGTTTTATATTTGGACCACTTTTTAATGACCTTTTTTTTCTTTCTTGTCATTTTAGGCTGAATTGCTTTTTAATCCCATTTTTTTCTGATAGTGATTTGAAAATTATACACTACATTTGTGTTGTGCATAACTAACAAAATCTAAAATTAGTCTGTATTTAATCTTTCTCTAAAACAATACAAGAAACTGAGAACCATTTAGCCTTCCTTCCTTCCAATTTTTATATGATTTCCATTTTGTTTTCTTTCTTATTTTTTTGGTCCCACAAATTATATATTAATTTTAATGTTTTATGCGTTCAGTGTTTGTTCAGACTTGCCCGAGTATTTACCAATTTCTTTACTTGCCATTCTTCTTTGGATCTTTGACCTTCCCTCTTAGGTCTTTTTCCTTCTTCTGAAGTATGCCTTCTAGGTGTTCTTTAATGCTAGTCTAATGATTACACTGTTTTGTTTATTAGAACATGTATTTTTCCTGACCAGTTTTTGTTGGATATAAAATGTTAGACTCACAACACATTGAAGATGTTCTATTGTTTTATGACTTCTGCTCTGAAAAGTCAGCTATTAATTTAATTGGCTTCCCTTTACCTTTGATAAATCTTTTGCCTCTGGTTATTTTTAAATTCTCTTTGTCCTTGATGTTCACTTTCACTTCAGTCTAGGTTTGGGTGTAAATTTCTTTATATTATCCTTCTTGGCATATGGTATGACTCCTATGGCTGTATGTTAATTTTTTATCACTTCTGGGGTATTATGGCTGTTACTATGCCTCTTGCTTGTTCTGGCTTCACTTCGTGGGATCCTTACTATGTTAGCAAAATTATTTTTAGACCATACTCTCAATTATGTGTGTTAAATCTTTTTTTATATTTTTCTGTCTCCTTGACTCTCCACTCCATTGTGAATACTAGTTGAGTATCTCTTATCTAAAATGCTGGACACCAGAAGTGCATTGGATTTCAATTTTTTCTGGATTTTGGAATATTTGCATATACATATGAGATATTTTGGGGTTGGGAATCAAGTCTTGACATAAAATTCATTTACATTTCATATATGTGTCATATGCATAGGCTGAAGATAATTTTATATAATATTTTAACTAATTTGTGCATAAAACAAAGTTTGTGTGCATTAAACCATTAGAAAGCAAAGGTGTCACTATCTCAGCCACCCATGTGGTCAGTCTGCAGTTGTTTGGCATCACCATCATTCCCAGCTCTGAATTTGTATGCTACCATTAGGCAATCATTTTTTTAGACTTACACACATGAGTAGTTAATGACAAAAAATAGGAATATCATTAATACAGTAAAAAAATAATAGTAATGTGTTCAGGGTAAAAAGGCAGTGCAGTGGCATCACCAGAAAACTGTCAGCTGCTCAACAACAGCAACAACAAACAATGGCATGTAAAGTCACGTGTGGAATTTTCCACTTGCAGCATCATGTCTGCACTCAAAAAGTTTTGGATTTAGAAGCATTTCAGATTTTGGATTGTTGGAATAGGGATGTTCAACCTGAAATAATTTCTCCAAACCTATCTTCTAGTTCCAATTTAGTGTCTAAATCTCACATCTCTGCTGACTCTCATTCCTGGTGACTTTTTCTTTATAAGTTTGGCAATTTCCATTTGGGAGGTCATATTTGGTGGTTTAATGTATGAGAATATTGGGGAGCATGATTTGTATGTGATTTTCTCCAGAGAGGATTTAGATTTGCTTCTTTTGGAGTACTGGCAGGACACTGCTAACCTGGGATCACTTTCGTATAATTTCTTGGCTGACAATTTAATTGATTGGGAGAGAATAAACTTGGTTTAATACCTCTAAGAGGTAAGTATTATGGTTGCCAAGT